ACCTCTTTTGTGCCCTTGTCATGACCCAACTGTGCAGCGCTTTGGGACGTCCTCCTGACGTGAAAGGCGCTTTATAAATGGAATCTTGTTGTTGTTGTTGTTGTTGACTGGGAGCAAAAATGAATCTTAATTCCTCAACAACACATATTCGCTTAATGTCTCTCTTGACCCAGGAACTTCACTTCAGCCAGAACCGTGCAATCTAAAGGCAAAGGTTTTATTTTGGAATAAATGGTAAAGCATTTCATTGGGGGTTTTGGATGATATTCGCAAAGCATAAGTTCTACAGCGCACAAATGCACTGCGAGTAAAATGAAGGTACCTTATCACATCACGTTATTAAAAAGCTGCAGATAAAAGTTAACCCGGAATTATTCGGACTGGCAGGTGAGCGAGCATAAAATTTGAAAACAAACCAATATTAAAATCAATGTCAGAAGGACAACAATCGAAAGAGCGCTGGAGGTTTGGAACAATCTGAGCTAAACCGGTTTAAGCACATTCAAAAAGAAACCAGAGGGCAAGATCCGGTGGGTCTGTTATTAAGCCAAATGAAGAACCCCCACCCACCCAACTCAGGTAAAGGCTTTCCAGCTCACATGAGCCCAGTCACTGCAAACACTTACCACGAACCCTCCTAAATGTTACATAAATGCAAGCTGTTGTATTATTTCTATTGTTTCTGCAACTGGTGCATATTATTACAAGCTGAGCCGGGGGGGGGGGGGAAGAAAAGCAGCGCCATCCACCCCAAAAAAAACCCCCCCATGAAGCATTAAGCTGCCATTGGTGCAATCAATGCTTTTACTATGAAAGGCAGTGGAGCTCCCAGGCTGGAGGGGAGGGGGCGGGGCCAGGCGCACGTTGGCTCCTCCCACCCCACGTTGGCTCCTCCCACCGACGCAGGATCTCACGTGTGACGCTCGGGACCATTGCTGCAACGTGATGACGTGGGGCCACCTCCAGCCCCACCAGTGCTGCAGAAGGAAGCAATCAGGTCTCCCCCCCACACACACACACCCACACACACACCTCCTCCCTCTCTGTGCTGCATGGGATGAGGATGTGTTATTTATTGGCAGCAGAATGCAAAACATTGCATTTTTTTTTGCACTCGAAATGCTGCAACGTGGTGGGGAAAAAAACAACGAATTGCACATTAATATTCCAAGATATTAATTATTATTATTATTATTAATTATTATTATTATTATTATTAATTAATTATTATTATTATTATTAATTAAGATATCAGTCAGAGAGAGAGAGAGAGAGGGAGAGAGACAGAGAGAGAGAAAGACAGGGGGAAAAAAAATTGTTATATAAGAAACCCAGTAAAATTATTGGTAAAATTTCACGAGCATATAATCACACATGCTCCAGCTGCTGGCACAGCACAGCACAGCACAGGCAGCAACACCCCCCCACCCACCCCAGTGGGGGTGTTTTCCACGTCGTGAAATGCAAATAAAAGTGTGTTATTTTGTGCTTGTGGTGGGAGGGAGGGGATGGATGGATGGGAAGAAACATCATCTGTAAGGCACAAGGACTGGCAGTGCAACAACAGCAGACAATTCTCAAACCTTATAAGGTTCAGAAATCAAAGCCTTGGAAACAAGTCAGTTTTGCAGCAACACAATAATGCATAAAGAAGGGTCATTCGGTTGAGTTGTGCTGGAAGAAGCGAAGCAAAGGCACATGGCAATCGATGGGGGGGGTCGTGGAAACATTTTGAATTGCATCACCGACACACAGTCTGCATTAGAGATAGAGGGAGAGAGAGAGAGAGAGAGGGTGGGGTGGGGGGAGGGGGAGGGGGGTTGGATGGAAGTGAAGGATATTTTCCAGACATTCCTTGCAAGGAATTGGATGCACAGTAAGTAAAACCCTGTCCTCTCCTCGGAAGGACTCCCTGCACGATCCCGAGAGGAATTATGCCTTGGAGTTGCCCATCACCCCATCAGGAAGATTTGGGGGGTGGGGGGGGTATGGGGGTGTGGGGGGGGGTGTGGGGGTGTGTGGGGGGGGGTGTGGGGGGTATGGGGTGTGGAGGGTATGGGGTGTGGGGAGGGGTATGGGGGTGTGGGGGGTATGGGGGTGTGGAGGGGTATGGGGGTGTGGAGGGGTATGGGGGTGTGGAGGGGTATGGGGGTGTGGAGGGGTATGGGGGTGTGGGGGGGTATGGTGGTGGGGGGTATGGGTGGGGGGGGGGTATGGGGTGTGGGGGGTATGGGGTGTGGAGGGTATGGGGTGTGGAGGGTATGTGTGTGGAGGGGTGTGTGGAGGTATGGGGGTGTGGAGGGGTATGGGGGTGTGGAGGGGTGTGGGGTGTGGAGGGGTGTGGTGTGGGGGGTAGGGGTGTGGGGGGTATGGGGTGTGGAGGGTGGATGGGGGTGGTGTGGAGGGGTATGGGGTGTGGGGTGGGGTATGGGTGTGGGGTATGGGGTGTGGAGGGTATGGGGGTGTGGAGGGGTGGGGGTGTGGAGGGTGTGGGGGTGTGGAGGGGTATGGGGTGTGGGGGGTATGGGGGGTGGGGGGTATGGGGTGTGGAGGGTGGTGTGGAGGGGTATGGGGGTGTGGAGGGGTATGGGGTGTGGAGGGTGTGGGGGTGTGGAGGGGTATGGGGGTGGAGGGGTAAATGAAAACACAAGACACACACACACTTGGGAAGAGCGAAAGCAAAGCGAAAGGGCATCGTTTGCAAATCCAACCTGAAGTGGGAAAGAAAACGCTTTATCAAAGCACAACGCGATTTATGCGGTCGACGCCCCGAGAAATAAAGGAATCCTCCGCCCGAGTGTCGACACGAAACCCCAAACCCTTTGCTGAACCAGTCCTGAGGTCGAGCTGCTCAGAGGGTTTATACACCGGAGCCCCGACACCCACACACACACTCCACAGAGTTAAGACCCGAAGCACTGAAATCGTTTGAACCAGAAAAACCAAACAGAAAACACACACATATATATATATATATATACACACACATATATATATATACACACACACACATATATATATATATACACATATATACATACACACATATATATATACACATATATACACACATATATATATATACACACACACATATATACACACATATATATATACACATATATACACACACATATATATATACACACACACATATACACACACACACATATATATCGACACATATATACATACACACACACACATATACAGACACACACACACATATATATATACACACACACATATACACACACACATATATATCGACATATATATATACACACACACACACACACACATATATACATAGACACACACACATATATATACACACATATATATATACACATATATATATACATAGATACACACATATACACACGCACACAAAATAAAACCACCACCCAATGAGTTGCTAATATATAACTCCAGATGCAAAGCGTTGCAATGATCCTTTTTTTTTATTAATCACATCAATTAAAACCGCGTTACAATGTAATGACTGTCTCGTTGGAAAGATCAACACCCCCCACCCACCCCCCCCCCCCCCACCCCCCAAAAAAATAAAACAAACAAGTAAATAACTTTTTTTTTACTTTTAAAAGTGTTAAAAGCAATATATATATATATAGCTATATATATATATATATATACACACACGCACTGTACAGGTGAAATTTGGTAGTCCAAGTCATCATTGGGTTGGGAAAGACGTCTTGAGTCGAGAGGAATATGGTTCAAATGAGTTAAAACTGCTCAGAAAACACACAACGTCGCAGCTTTCAGATGGATTCAGTTATTCTGAAAGCAGTAGGAAAGCGATGCCACCGATTTCTGTTTGGTTTTTTTTTTGTTCCTTCTTCTTCTTAACGATCTTTAAATCCACATCTTTAACGTCGTTGATGTCCATCCAGACCACTGTACGTACAAAATCCCACATGATCAGTCCATCCCCTCTTCCAAGTTTGGGGGTTATTTTTTGGTGGAGGGGGAGTGGAGGAGGAGGGAAGAGTCTCTGATGATCTCTTTTTGCTCCCAAAACACCCCCTCCACCCCCACCCCCCCCCCCCCCCCACCTTGAAGAAATCACATAGATGTCCAGCTACGTAAGAGCTTTTAATCCACCACGACTTGCAAAAAAAAAATAATACAAATAATAATAATAAAAAATTCCCAAACCCCACAAACTCGTGTAACAGGTACAGTATAAACATTCATTCCTTTCTGGCACGTAGTTTCTTTTTTCCCTTTGAAAATAAGTATTCTTTATATATATATATGTATATATACACACACACACATATATATATATATAAAACAAAATACAACTCGGAAACTTCATTATGAAGTACAGTACTTGGCTCTCGAGGAGAAGGAGGAGAAGGAGAAGGAGGAGGGGGGGGGATGGGGGGGGGGGTTGGGCTGGTGTTGGGGTTAGGGTTGGGGGTTTGGGAGGGGGGTTAGGGTTGGGGTTTGGGGGTTAGGGTTAGGAGGGTTGGGGGGTTAGGAGGGTTGGGGGGGTTGGGGGGTTGGAGGGTGGGGGGGGTGGGGGGTAGGGTTGGGGTTTGGGGGGGGTTGGAGGGTTGAGGGTGGGGTGGGGGTTGGGGGGTTGGGGTGGGGTTGGGGTTGGGGGGTGGGGGTAGGGTTGGGGTTTGGGGGGGGTTGGGAGGGGGGTTGGGGGGGTGGGGGGTAGGGTTGGGGTTTGAGGGTTAAGGTTGGGAGGGGGGGTTGGGAGGGTTGGGGGGGAGGTGGTGGGGTAGGGTTGGGGTTTGGGGGTTAGGGTTGGGGTGGGGGTTGGGGTGGGGGTTGGGGTGGGGTGGGGCTTGGGAGGGTTGTGGGGGGGGTTGGGGGGTGGGGGGGGGTTGGGGGGGGTTTGGGAGGGTTGGGTGGGGTTGGGGTGGGGTTGTGTGGGGTGGGGGTTGGGGGTTGGGGTGGGGGTTAGGAGGGTTGGGAGGTTGGGGGGGGTGGGGGTTGTGGGGGGGGGGGGTTGAGGGGTGGGGGGGGTTGTGTGGGGGTTGGAAGGCGATTGCCTGGAACGGTCAATGCGCTGAATCCGAGTCGCTGGAGTCCAGACTGTGTCTGAGTTTGGAGCCGCTCAGCGCGGGTTTCTGGACCCGCGCGGTGTGTGCGCTCCTCCGCAGACACTCGAGCGACTGCAGGAACGACTTCTTGGCCTTCTCCTCCTCCAGAGGGGAGACGCCCTCCTCCTCCACCTCCTGGATCTCGTCGAAGGTGACCGGTTGGGTCTTGAACCGCGACGCCTCCCTGGACCGCCGCTGCTTGACTCGGCTCCGCTGCGGCTGCCGACGGGGCGACGGCGGGAACTCCTCGGCCATCCCGACGAAGGTGGGCATCACCGCCTGGTAACTGGTGCAGATGCCCACCACCTCGCCCTGTTTCCCGGCCATGGGGACCCCCACCCGCCGCTCAGCCCGGAGTTGGGGTGTGTCAGATCCTCTCTGTGTCGTCTCTCCGTCTCTCTCCCGATGTGTCTCTGTGTCTCTCCCTCTGTGTCTCTCCCGATGTGTCTCTCTCTCTCTCTCTCTCCCTCTCCCTCAGCCTCGGCTCCGTCCCCCTGGAAGTTGACGCAACTTTGACTCACTGTTGATGGGCAGAAGCAATTTATATAGACAACTCCCGCCCACGTGTACACGGACTCGGATGACACCGGTTGCCCCGTTTGAAGCGAAACCCTTTTTGCGGCTCTGCCTTTCCCTCTCACCGGAGGGCGTGTGGGCGAGTGAGTGAGTGAGTGAGTCAGTGAGTGTGTGGGTGGGTGTGTGTGTGTGTATGTGAGTGAGAGTGAGTGTGTGAGTGAGAGTGTGTGTGTGAGTGAGTGTGTGAGAGTGTGTGTTTGAGTGAGAGTGAGTGAGTGTGTGAGTGAGAGTGTGTGTGTGAGTGAGAGTGTGTGTGTGAGTGAGAGTGAGTGAGTGTGTGAGTGAGAGTGTGTGAGTGAGTGAAAGTGAGTGAGTGAGTGAGTGAGTGTGTGTGTGAATGAGAATGAGTGAGTGTGTGAGTGAGAGTGTGTGAGTGAGTGAAAGTGAGTGAGTGAGTGAGTGTGTGTGTGAATGAGAATGAGTGAGTGAGTGAGTGAGAGTGAATAGATGTGTGAGTGAGTGTGAGTGAGTGAGTGTGAGTGAGTGAGTGTGAGTGAGTGAGTGTGTATTTATTTATTTTGTTTATTTGAGGCTGACGTCCTCTTAATAAAAAAAATTTCATCCATCATCACCATCATCATCACCACCATCATCATCATCATCACCACCATCACTGGGTTTGTTCTGCCACTTCGATTTGTGCGGTCGAGAGAAGAAGTCTTCTGTTTTATCACAAATCTTCTGTCTCCTCTCAGAGAATATCAGACTCATCTCACCATCCCCCCCCCCCGCCTTCCCCCACACCCCCTCCTCCCCCCCCAAAGAAAAATTGCACACTTATGAAATATGATCTTCCAGGTAGATCAGCTTTTGATCAGGTTACAGACTTCTGGACGTGTTTCTACGTGCGTCCCTGTGTGTGACCAATCTCTTTGTGGTTCAAGTTCAACTCGTCAGGAAATGGCTTCAAGTTCCCTTAACGTCAATTGTGAACCCTCTGTTTTACAAGTGGCGGGTGTGAAACCCAGCGACTGTACAACCACACACTCTACAGTGCATCCCGCGCGGCGCTTTGAGACGTCTCGAAGAAGCGATAAGGCGAGGATTGTGATTGTTATTATAACTAACTCCCGCCAGAGAGATACCCCTGTGAATATGTCCAGTGAGAAGCCGTTACTGTCATGATTCGGGTGATTAAAGTAATCCGTTCATGTCCAGCTGGGGCTAAAATGATATGGGGGAAGGCGGGGGTTGGGTAAGAAAGCATCAACAGGAAGTTTTGGAGACAGTTGCTTCATCTATCTACAAACTGAGTCAGTCAGTGGACAGGAAATGAACAACAACTTGCATTTGTGTAACCTACATAGGCTCGGTTCTCAGAGCCCTATGAGTATTGCAAGAAAGTGCTGACATCTCCTGAACTTTCACAGTGGGAGCACTCACAGACCAGGACTGTCAGGGCGGGCTTCACGAGATAAATTTGCTGTTTCAATTCCTGAGCACATAAATAGATTAACGAGAGGAAATGTTGCTCAGTCATGATAATGCCATTGACCCAAGAGACCCATGTTTGAAGGACGTAGAGATAGCTTGGCGAGAGAAAACAAATAATGCATGTCATTTATCCATTTCCCTATCATCCAGTAAAATAAAAGAACCTAATACCTGACATCTGTTCCACAATAAAGGAGCAAACAAAAGCAGAAGCTACAAATCCGAGCTGTAAAGGTGCTGTGTTAATCACTTATATCAGATTTTGCGATGATCAATGTTAGTAACAAATTGATTTCCACTATCCAGCTTTGGGTCTACAACCAGTGACTTTGGGAAATGTTGTTCTTCCAATCTCTCTGGCTTTGCTTCAGTCATTTTAATTTGGAACCTATATCTTGTATTCCCGGTGTCATGATGCCAGTCAAACACGTTTATATCTAGTGGTATTCCATGTTTGGAATATCTTGTCTGTAAAAGAATGGATACAAAGACTATTGTCCTTGCAATTGGCGTCCTCTTATAATAGTACATACAAAGAGATAAACGAAAAGACCAAGTGTGTACACTCAGAGCTCTTACACAGCCGTAATTCCTCAAGAAATGTTTACACTTGATTTTGTTTAGTTTCCTTTGTTTTGTTGAAATACTAAGCAGGGTCTGCTTGGAGCTGAACAACAACAACAACAAAATTACAATTGTATAGTGCCTTTCATGTCGGGAGGATGCCCCAAGCTGGCTCCAAGGTGACATGCTTGGCAAAGGAATGTCGGAATCGAGCCAACCCTCTGTCTCGGTTCCTGAGCCAGGTGGCTCCGCATTATTCCAGGGCGCAGCTGAAGACAGCACATCCAGACTCGCTCATCGGCAGGACCTGGAAGGGCAAACCAGTCACTGGGGATCAGGGAATCATCCTACTCAGCTCCTGTTGTAACCCTGCAAGCCAAAGCCCTAATGGATACGGTGGTCTTAACTAGACAAGCAGCAGGAACGCTTGCCAGACTGCGATATCAATGGCAAGCTATGTGGTTTTAGCTGGCTAGACTCCAGCAGTTATCCCAACGTACACTCTCGGGTCCCAATCCTTGGCTCTTGCCAACCTACACCTAATACTTTCTGGGATTAGGTAAGCAGGATGTGTCTCCCCCGCCCCAGGGGAGAGAATAGCATTCCATTCCACCTCCAGAATTTTAATGTGTAAGTGGGAAGCATGGAAATCTCAGCTGGGTTTGGATACTCTTAAGCACGGTGATTGGTTTCTGCATGTCAGACCCAGCTGAGCAAAAAAAAATGTAAATACTAACCTTAAAACAGTTAACAGACGTCAGAGGGAGCAAATTCTATTGAAAGGGGTGGCATTGAAATACTAGGAAAGGAAGCAAGCAACCGGCCTGGGGTACATGTACTGTATATTTTTAACATATGAATTGTATTTCAAATCACTGCACCGTCAACGAGGAGGAATGCGTGGCTCATCCACGAATGGGAAAGTGGGCTGCTTGCTTGTCAGAGTGTTGAGTTCACTTCCACATGCACATAACATTGCATCACATTACCGGACAAAATTGTCCCAATTTTACAGCAATAACGTCAGCATGCTAAAATCACTCGTTTCACTAAAGTCTCCCGGGATTTCTGAGCCGGTCACAGACATCACTGTTTTCGAGTCACGGAGGAGCTTCAATCACAGGGTGAAAGAGTTTCTTAATATATATATGTATCTATACAATTACCAAACTGATTGGTACAAATAGATTGCGTTTTGGATTTTATTGTTTTAAAAGAGGAAATGAGACTTGATCACATATCCAGCCACTCCCTGCTTGTCCATAGTTGCTATTTTCAATTGTTATTGAATGTTTAATGAAGCAGATATCTATTCTTTGCTGTAGAGAGGAAATCACGATCTTAGCTTAGTATTTCTGTCCGGCCTACAAGACCAAATAGGTTTCAGTGTTGTACACTATAAGACAACCTCTCTGTAATCGACACCAGTGGGGAGAGTTAAATGACGCTCAGTCAGGGGTTTCCCACAGACTGCTTTTCTTCCATTTTTAGCCATGACATCAATCAGAGCAAATATAGATCAGTCATACCTGCATAGAGGGTGTCTTCATGGTATAATTTTAATTTTTGTACTGAATTAGTCAAAGTTTTGAAATGTTCAGTCGATTCTGAGATAGGATATTTAGAGAAGAGCTCCATCTGTTGTTCAAGAAGAAAGAATTCACCTCTTGCAAGAACACCAATATTACGTCTGATGCATTTACACTGTAAAAAATACCATTCCTTGCATTTAGTATAGTGCCTTTCACTGGGTGGCTCAAAGCACTTCACAGGATTTACTGTAAAGTGTAGTGACTCTGTATTTTGTTGGTGAGCGTGCCAGTCCACTTGCGCACAGCACTTCGCACAAACAGCCATGAAGTGAATCAAAATTTTATCCGAGGGCCTTTTGGTTGGCTAAGGACAATATGAAAAACTCAATTCTCTTTAAGTCATACCATTGAATGTTTAACATTGACTGAACAGATAGATAAGGCTCTCAGTTTAATGTCTGATCTGAAGGACGGCACCTCTGAAAATGCAGCGCTCTCGCACCACTGCTTCAGAGCGTCCGCCTTATGTGAGTGCAAAGTCCCAACATGGGGTTTGAATCTATAACCTTTTGACTCAGAGGTGACAAATTATTTGGCACCTGGGAATAAAGCCTCTTCAACTCCACGGGGTTAAAATGCACTCATTGCCAGCTGAACTGCCCAGTGAGTATGTACATTTTCTCTGTGCCAGTCATTGACAAGACGAAGATATTACAAACACGAAGATGATGCTGGGAAGCTCTTGGCGTGGAATTTAATCTGGAGCGAGTAAGTGATTTCTGACTGATCAAATTACTGCAATTTTTAGAGATTATGACAGGAAGCCTTATTGAGACCCAGGAAGTGTTCAAACCATAGACATATATTTATACATTTTAAATTCCATCACATTAAACATATAACTTCACAAATATTAAGATACAAAATATGGATGCAAGGACACACATTTTGGCAGACCTCACTCTTCAGTTATGGAAGATATTAAATGACATATTTGGGTGGACCATGAATGTTGTATGTACTTAAGAAACAAGTCAGGCTTATAGAGGCCTAATGCTTGCTTGTGCTTTTGTGTTTCATGCATAAACATCAGAAAAAAAACTGCTAATACCTTTGGCAACAAACCATACTGTTAAGTACAGGAGATCAATAATGTCTCATGAATAAAATAATCATGGAAATCTTAAACGCTCTGGGACGCTACCGTGCGTGAGGTAGTCTGCGAGAGTACCAATCTTGGAGAAGTCTATGGCAGAAGCATGGAGGATATCAGGCAATGCAGCAAACAGAAGTTTATTGTATTTTAAATCTCCTGGATCTGTGTTTACAAAAGTATCAACGACATAAAGGATTTAATAAAATCATTAAATCTGGAGAGGTGGGGAGGAGTGTTCATTCTAACTGTTCATTTGTAGTTGTAACCAATATGTATTTATTAATAATTACACTCGTTTGTTACAATGTAAATCTTTCCCTTTTTTGCAGTTACACAATAATTAGGAAACAAATGGGATTTCATGATGATCCAACTTTTGAATATCAGTAGAAAACATGAAGAACATTACCAAATGTTAATATTGGATTTTTAACGACATGCAAAGATAGACAGATTTTTTTTAATTTAAAAGTTGCAAGATTAGACAATGCACTGGACTTTCTTAATGTAACATAGCTTGTTATATTACAGCATTACTGACTAATTATCAATACAAAGTGTTTGATTGCAGCTAAGTGACCTCCAGATAGATATTTCAAATAAATAATAAATGACAGACCCTCTTTTCTGCTACTTTGCAGCAACACTTTCCATTAATTGATATTTAAAGTGCTGAAGCATTTTGCAATGTCTAGCATAAATGTATCAGGAAATTATGTGATTGGAGCATAATTTACGATCAGAAATAACATCTGGTGATGAGAGATAATGCGAGTTTGCAGATACCCACTTTAACAGTGGGGTTTTGGAAGCCAACTTTAAGAGGAAATTAACTAAGTTCATGACAAAGGAAGATTGAGGGGTATTTGAACAATGGTGTTTACAAAATTCAGTAACTAAACTTTGTAGGAAAAATCCTGTGCTTTGCTTTGAGACATTGAAACATTGAACAGTTATAGACAATGGCTGGCATCTTTACACAACTCCATCCTTAATCAGTTCAACCACAAACAAAATTCTCTGTAAGGTTTTCATACAAGTATTTTTTTCTTTCTGGCTGCTGGCAATTCATCATGTGTCACATACAATGCTGAACAGATGATCTGCAGTTTTAATTGGTGTACTGTGTCAGCACAGAGGCTTGCTGGACAGAGTAACTATTGGCTTAGATTCAGAGATTTCCCAGCTCTTGCCTCACTTCACATTAGTTAATCAGTATTTCTTTTAGAAGAGTGTTTTTTTTTTTACTTCCCCCTGTCCCTCCTTGAACTTTTTGCTTCCAACTCAAGCCACCTTTCACCACAGAAAGGAGAAAGCTAAGTTATTGGTATCTCCACTTCAGTACAATTATTATTTCATATTCACGACAAACACCAACCATATCCGTTTCTCCACCCTTGATTGAAGCGCTCCATTATCATGAGGGATACCTGCTTGTAGCTGACAGTTTCAATGTCACCAAGTCCTTGATTGCCAAGAGTCACCTTTTTACTAAACCATTCTAACCTGGAGCTAAATATCGTGGTATTATATGAAGTATGCCATTCCAAACGAGTTACAAAAATGACTTTCGACCATTTATTATCAAATGTTTCTGGAAATGTACAGTATTGCATACAGTCATTTAGAGAGTGGAAAATGATGTTGTGAAGATCTGGCTGAGGTAGCAAAGATTTGTAATCTAAAATATTCAGAGTAATACTACCTTCATGAAGCTGTTAATCTATCCCGACTTTAGTGAAGTCTAGGGAAACATTTTGACACAAAGTTATCAGTTTCTTAAGAAGACATTTTACTGTACTTTCCATTTCTAATGAAAATGCTGGAAAGATTATCTTTAGCACACAGTGTGAGCCGTCAGAGCTAAATTCAGATTTGCAGCACACTGATATAACAGATCTGTTAGACCTTCAAAGTACATTTCAGTTTAGTGATAGATTCACAAGTACAACAACAAAATTACATCTGTATAGCACCTTTCACGTGCGGAGGACGTCCCAAGGCGCTGGACAGACAGAGTTACGGACACAAGCTGAGGGTCAGGGTGGGGGAAGGGGAAGGGGAAGGGCAGGCAGAACCAGGGAGATCGAAAGCACAGTCAAAGAAGAGGGTCTTAAGGTGGATCCTGAAGGTGGCGAGGGAGGGGGCGAGATGGAGGGACTGTGGGATGGAGTTCCAGAGGGTGGGTGCAGAATGGCGGAAGGCCCGCCCGCCGATAGCGGGACGAGCAAGGCGGGGGACGTGAAGCAGGCCGGAGCCCACTGAGTGGAGGGAGCGAACAGGGCGGTAGGGGGGTTAGGAGGTCGGAGAGGTAGGGGGGTGCAAGACCGTGGAGGGCTTTGAAAGTGAGGACCAGGAATTTGAATTGCATCCTCTGTGTGATGGGAAGCCAGTAAAGTTGGGTGATGATGGGGGTGATAGGATCACGGAGCCTAGTGCGGGAGAGGACACGGGCTGCAGAGTTCTGGATGATCTGCAGCCTGTGGGGGGAGGAATTGGGGAGGCCGACAAGCAGTGAGTTTGCATAGTCGAGCCTCACGGTAATGAAGGCGTGTATGAGGGTTTCGGCGGCCTGCGGTGTGAGACAGTGTCGGAGCCGGGCGATGTTGCAGAGGTGGGGGAAAAGCAGAGCGGGTCATGGTGGAGATGTGGGGTAGAAAGAATAGTTGAAGGTCAAACAAGACCCCAAGGTTCTGGACTGGCTTAGCAAGGTGGAGTGTGCAACCATGGATGGTGATGCTGTCAGCGCCTGAGGGGAGGAGGCGCTGACGGGAGCCAATCAGGAGGGCCTCAGATGAGAGAACAAATGGTAAGTTTTCCAAAACAATGACCTGCAAATCAAAGAAATATTTCAGAAAACTGATCTTTGATTAGCACTGAGAGGTTTTGCTTTTGAAATTGCCCAACAATAATCTAGTTCATTATGTGACTGTAACTCTCTAACAAGACAGGTTTTGTGGATTCAGCAGCACAATTGTCAAAATTCACTTAAGGTTGTTCACACAACAAGTGTTCCAATAAAGTATTGAACTCTTCTGCTAAAAAGCAGGGGTGTGTGGTTAAACCTGCTTTCCATGATGCTCCTACCAAGTATTATTTCTGATGGTCTTTTCCCCCCACAAGGTACTTCAAAGTATATTGTACTACAAAGTACAAAGCAATATACAAGTTGAAAACTAATAATTCAATGGCAACATTTGGCATTCAAATCTGATTCAACATCAGCCTCAACTCATTTAAAGAGAACAATAAAGCGGACCTTTTTCAAATAAAAGCAACAAAGTAATGAAATCCAGAGCATTGGAGTTCTTAATGACCAACATTTATAACGCTCCGGGTTTGATTACTGAAACTTTTTTTTTGTTTGTTTGTTTTTGTTTTTGTTTTCCACAGCATATAAAGTGAGCTTTCGATCAATTTGGCCTGATGAAAGGACCAGTTTTCGATAACAGTTTTAACTTGTTTCAGTCTTCTTTTAAAATTGGTGTTCTGTTGGATGAACTTTTAGTGACATGTCGTGCTAAAAACGATTCAACAAAAAGCATAGGTTTGCTTCTGACTTTATTTACTTGCTTAGACACATGATATCATGCCACATTGTTGTGTTTACATAACCAGCAACCAGTAGAGAGTACTTAAAGTGTTGATTTCCCTGCTTAATAGCCACATTTGGAAGCAGATGGAGTTTAAGTCAGCAGTTTTCTGTGAGATGCATCTGATCTGGAGCCAAACCCGAAAACATTTGGGACAGGAAGTGAGCAGGCTTGCACTCAGTGTACAAATTTGTACCATGCAAAGACCTCAGATTGGTAAAGATTTCTGTATCTAAACAGTTTTTTTTCTAATGTGGTTCACTGCTTCATTCTAACTATAATTTCAGATATGAGATTTCACAGTAGAAGAGATTGAGACAAAGACAAACATTTTCCAGTTTGAAACGTTGAAACCTTTCAGGCCTTCAACTTAAAAATCAACAAAAATCCAAGAAAATTACATCCAAATCACAGAAAATCCATGTGAAAAATCTCACACATTTTCCACTTTACAATAATGATAAGCCTTACATTTAGTATAGTTGTCTTTCAAGTCAGGTCGATGTCTCAAAATGTTTCACAGGATAAACTGTAAAGTGGAGTGACTGTGTGTTGCGTAGGCGAACGTTGCACTGAACATTCATTTCCACTCTTCAGCTCTCGCTTGGATTAGGAAAGATTGTTCTAAATGTCAGGTTAATTCGCACTCCTCTATCATGATACTCCTTTGGCACTCGATGCTGGAAACAAACATCATAAGATGCATTCATTTTTTTCATGAAAAATTCATTTAGTTAGGTGAGGATCAGACTTGGCTGTGATTAATATTTCCCCTCCTTCACCCCCATCTGTTGACAGTTAACATCTAAGGAACTGTTACCCCATCAGGAGTTAGAGGAGTTTTTTTTAAAAAAAAGAAAGATAGATTAATAAGCTGTTCCACTCTCTGCCTTCCAATGCTGTTCTGTTTAAATACAGAATACGAAATTAAGGTGACAAGTATATCACAAGGTAGACAAAGCATCTGAAGCCCTGAACAGACATCCTTTATCCAAATAATATTGTGAGAGGCTTTCAAAACAAAATAAAGGATTAACAGTGAGATTGACTGTCAGCAAATTCTGGAAGGGAAACATTTCTACTTCTATTTAGGGAAGATCCTGTACAGCAGTTGGACTATTCGCCACATTTATACACAGGTTCACAATGATCTCGCTCACCTGCCAATCTTTCTGGGTTTCCCCCTCCATCACCAGCAAACAGCCATGATCCAATGGGATACGGATTCTGTCTACATATGTATAGTCTCCTTTTTCTTCCTAGAAATAAACAGAACATGTTAGCATTAAAGGATCATCTAAAGGATAACACTGGTTATGAAGACACAGACGATTTGTTAAAGTTCACAGTTAGATGTGTTAAGTATATGAGACTGGCCAGATATCCATTATATTAATCTGCTGTATATCAACTAATTAAAAGAAATACAAATCAGGTGCAATTAACTGCTAGCAAATTCAAGCTTTTCTGTATTCAAAAATAAAAACTCCAAAGTTTGTTCAGAAAAACCCATACAGCACCCATACTACATATCATTTTCATATCATTTCCGACCCTGGAATTTAGTGTGGGCAGTTTATTTAACCCAGTTTATACAGATGTTCAAATTAAGAGTGCTCCCAAGCACATTGAACTCAGAACAAAATGTGTCTATATTTGTTAAATGCTTCTTCGCTGAAGGGCCCTTGTTATAAATGCAAAGTTTTTACCTATTTTAGTTACAGATTGATAGCATATTTGACTTCAACTTATTTTCAGTGCAGCTGTCATTCATAAAAATTGCACAAATTTTAATTGCTTACAATATACAGTATTACGAGTACAGAAAAACAATTAATTCCTCAGAAAAGCAATACATTTTTATTTTCTCTGCAAGGAGGCTATTCAGGAATGCCTGGTACACCCACCTGTTGCCATCACCAATGTACTGTTGCCATAGAAACCATAAGGACCACACACTACATTTTCCTCTGTACAATTGTGAATCTCAGGCACCATTTGTAAAACTAAACATTTAGATTGGTTTGCAAAGCAGATTTGGCACAAGTACAAAATGATTTTCTGGTCTGGTTATGTTTCTGAGGAACAGCCCATTGATGGCTTTTGAATCTTTGGAAAAGTACAGAAAGGCTGTGTTCTTGCCTCAGGTTTTGATTCAAAGGATCTGAATAATTCTCAATAGTCATTCCTAACAAACATGATTGGACCTTCATTCTCTCCCTCCCCCACATAGAGAAATTGAATAACCCCAGCTATTAACATGCGATTACAAGGAGTGAATTGGCTACGCCTGATGGGAATAACCAAGAAAAGGCAAAATCCTCAAGGATTTCTTGTGTATTATCTTATTTTAATAAATATGGTGATAAATGAAGCAAAGGTTTGTAGAGATCTACAGGAAAATTCATATTCCGCCCTTTCAAAACCCATTACAAAACTAACAAAACCTTGAAAGGAACAAGGCTCAATACTAATAAGAGCATATTGATGACCTTGGAAGGTTAGCTGATGTTTATTATTTTGTGTGCATTCAGAATTAAAGGTGCCTATCTTAGAAAATGTAACAAAAAAGCACCTTAAAAAACTTGAAATTAAAATTCTGTATTCATTTGAGTTGAGCAATATTGTTCTTAAGTTTCAAATAAGACTAATTAGCTATACTTTTTGTGGGATTTATTTGTTTTGCACCCCTGGTTGTTTTAATGAGGTTTGACTAGAAAAGGAAAAAGATGTGGCCTCAAGAATTAAGGTAGTGCCAACAAAGTACTACAGTAATAGGCAGGGCAACTGCAGTAAATTAAATGCGTTTCGCATTTGTAGGCAACTTTTTTGTTAAAAAAAGGATTGACTATTATAATATTCAGGCAAATATGGAGTGAAGATTTCTCGTCAGAAGACCGCATGCTGATCATCGTGTTCAGAAAAACATTAAGATTAATTTACATGTCTTCTGCCATTTTTGTTTTCACAAAACTGGTCACTGTTTTCAACAGGAAATGCCTTTTGGTACACAATGTTTTTCAGACTAAGTTTGTCTAAGCGATGAATATAACTACAGAAAATTCCCATTTGTAAAAACTTATGAGAACAATGTCAAAAGCTTATTGTCAACAACAATCTGTTCTCTAAACTTACCCAAATTACCGTGTATTGACAGATTTATGTTTTAAAAAACTTGGTTTTTGATCCTATAATGTAATCAGCATGGATTATTTATGAAATGAAAATAGTAATGACCAAAATAGAATGTAAGAAGAATTTGTGATGGCTATACGTGGTTCAGTTCTGATGGCAAAACTTGCTCATCGATTTCTGCAGTAGATGTTAACGTGAATGCTGTCGTCACTCATATCCTTATGTCTGGATGGAAGTCACTGACTATAGCCAAACCTCACAAGCAAAACTTTCCAACAGTGCAAGGAATCAATCTAGGAGGTAGGTAAAAGGACTAAAAATAAAGCTGTATCTTCAGGCCCTCTTCAAAATAATTACATCTGTTCGAAAATTGTAGTTGGTTGCAAGCAGGGAAAGGAATCACAAGTTTGTAAATTGCTTGTGATGCCACAATATTTTGGAAAATTCCACTTTCAGTTCAGCTTGCCAATGTGGTTTCATTTCCATTTGTATAAGTGCAGATGGAACAAGGCAGACCTCCACATTTTGCCTCCCGATGTAGTTTTCCCTGTGTAAATGTTTGACTACAGTATTGCTTCAGTACAGAAACAAATCTTGAACCTTTATTTTGGCCTACGTTGAACCATCAACAAGCAAACTGAAAAATCCCAACATAGATTTCAAAATGCTCTAAGAGTAGAAGAACACTTGCGACTTGGTACACCAAAGAAGGTGAAATAAAGATTTTTTTTAAAAATTAGAATATTAACCTGACAAGTCATATCAATTACTACCATCATCAACTTTAAAAACTTACTGTGTGAATAAATGCCACAGATTGTAACTTTTCTTGGAGCATAATATATGGATCACTACAACATACTTTATTTAATACATGGAGGAAAATGTGTTTGGTTTCCATTTGCTCACACAGGTACTGTTTGTGTCAGCTTGGCCGAACGTTAGTGTATTCCTACCTGAAACTGTAACTATATCACAACTACATGCAATAAAATCGTCGTATCATGTTCCTAGCCTATTAAACCTAGTTTTTTTTAAAAAAAGGTATGAAACACAGTACTTACTGGAGGTGGTTTCTTTCTGAGCTCAAAATTCCTGGTTTCCCCGAAGCTGAGCGATGCAATAATGGGATTCGTTCCCAACGATGGCTCATCATCGCTGTGCCAATCGATGCTGTCCTTGTCATTCCGGTACAGGTTACAAAGCAGGGAGTTAAAGGTGTGTCCAGTTACTTCCTCAATTCGGTCCTTCAACATGGTCAGGAGAGGGTGCCACTAAACAAAGCACAGGCCGCTTACAATGTCAGAATCGTGAGAAAATTCTACACATGAAAGATTAGCAGCATTGTGTTTCAAACAAGGCAAAATGACATACGTGAGGGTTTGGTTTCATGGTTGAACGGGAATACGTATAAGGGAGCTCTCCATACCAGGATGTGAGTCGTGGCTCCTGATATGATCCATCTGCATCATACACATTTATTAATTGAAAACAAATCCATTAGCAAAACAGCCATTATAGACGTAGATTTGTGTAAATTATTTTATATTATTTTATAGTTAGTATTCGTCAGTAAGAGAGGCAAACTGTGACTTGAATTAAGATAGAAAGGAAACGGAAAATAACAGTAAAGAAATGGCATTTAGTGTATAGATTTCATGAGCCACTGAGGCACAGAGAACTGGAAGGTACCAGGCTGAGCCCTGGTGGTTGGCAGAGTGACATTGTGGGAAGGCAGTTCTCAGAGCTAAGGAGGAGAAAAATAGGAAATATTTGTTTTGAACATTCATGGCGTCTCCTGATTTTACTTTCTTAGAATTGAATGCAAAGATATATTATTATTTATTATTAAGATATGGAATATTTACATCATAAATGTTGTACATTAAATAAAAACTGCATAAAGTCTCAGCTATCTCCAGATAAAACAAACCCCGTCTGCTGTTAGTTTTTTGTTCCCAGGGTATTTCCATGTGCAGTTGCTCAAACATCCAATCAGCTTCTTTTGGTTCAATGAAACCAGGTTTCAAACACAGCCTGTTAGGGGATGAAAAAGAAAGCTCAGAATAAGAGATGGAAAAATGGCTCATTTGTTTGTAAAGATGTAAACAATAGATTTTAGAATGACACTCCTAACAAGTATATCTCACAATCTATATTGTGATAGAGTATTTTCCTTTTTACTCCCTGAATAATCTATTCGGTTTCTTGAGAGATGGAGGAATGGACACTTTGCCTTTCTCACTGTAAGTATTCACCTTGTTACATTCATCTCAATTTAAAGCACAAAATTGTTCAGTTAAGTGTCAGCAGCAGTATTCTACCCAAAATCCAAAGTGTGATTTCCTATTTCAGGACAGAATGAAATAAGACTTCTGGAGTCAGTTGTTTGATTCTCAGAAAACTATTCAAGAAAAAAAATACTCCTGCGGTCAAAAAAATCTTTAAAATGAGGACTGTTTCTTTGATCATTTATGACAAAAATTACCCCCTGGTTGCTTACTGGTTAAATGAATTGCCCAGTGTGGTACAAAATCCAGCAAGTCCCATTGTTTATCCCTCGTCTGTGCCTAGTTTATCGATCTCAGCCAGCGGCATTCAGCTCATTTCAAATGACGTCAGTGCTTTTGTGAAATAGTTTGCAGAGAAAGGGAAGAAAGTCATCCAAGGTTTCTGTTCCTGAATGACATGTGCAGACATCATGCCAGTGAAGATTGGGTTTAAATCACATATGTTTCGTTTGTTTGAACATCGGGCTCAGCTTTTATTGCTGACATTCACTGTCCAGATAAAAACAAGGACAGCCACTTAAGCAAAGTGTTGTGGGCTGTGTGTAAAACTGTAGAGCAGCATGAGTTAGCGCTCACAAAGTACACAGTCACTACACTTTACAATGTGTCCTGTGAAGCACTTTGAGACTTCTCAAAGACGTGATAAGGTGCCATATCAAATGCAAGGATTATTATTATTAAATTCTTTAAAGGATGCATCAAGGAAACCTGACACAGCACAAAAAAGGTCAAGATAACAAACCATCATTTTCAGCAAGAACCCTGATTATTTTTTAGTACTGGATTCCTGCATCATCATCACTACATATTTTGGATGAAGTCATGGAAATTCTGAATTTAATGTTTCTGTATCTCCAGGTGCTAGTTATATATCAACAGAACCGTTAATCTTAAAAAAAGTTTGGAGTGAGATCTCCCAAATCAGTCAATCCAAAATAAGTTCACATGCAAACTGGAGAGAAAACCTTCATTCCTTACCTGGAAACACCCGTCTGCCTATTGCTGATGTCATATACACCTTCTTTGCTGAAAAATAAAGAGATTATTTGTTTTGACCGCTGAGCTAGAAACTTGCAAGAATGGTTGGATACACGTTGTGAAATAATGAGTTATGGAGAATAAACCAAGTGGTGACGGATACTTAAATTGAAAATGTCACAACTCCCAAAGTATTGCGTCAAGAATTATGACCCATTTATTTTATATAATTTACTGGTATCTCAATAACCTGTGTATTTTGTTCATACCACACATGAACTAGAACAGTTTTACATTATTTTCTGAAAAAAAATTATTTATCCCCTTCTTTTATGTTCTTCCTCCCACTCACTGTTCCCAAGAGTTGGCAAGCAACGTGAAGTCGATCCTCTGCTAATGCCAGTCTGTAAGAACCATTCATTTACATGTGCAATGCATGAGACAAAGGGCATTGTGTGAATCTCCCAAAATAATGCATATATTTTGCTTTTAACAGTATCCCTATCTCTGTTGTCTTTCAGTCAGGAGGGCAGAATATTTGGGCCTGCAAGTCTTTCACATCTGCATCAACACTGCTCTGTGCAGATTTCCCTGCCCATTTTCTCTTCCTCTCTGAAACATATTCAGTGACTATATTAGGAAATAGTAAAACTTGTTCACAAGACAGAACACTGCGTTTTGACATTTCTGACAGGTAATGAATGGATCCTTATTTGAGCAGTTTTTTGCAATAGGACTTTCCAATTATCTGAGTGGTGTGATTTCATACTCAAGTGTTGGTCCTCTCGGGAGACATGGTAACAAGTGACAGACAACTAATCACCTCTTCCAGTTTGCCATGGGCGGCAATCGAGTGATTTCCTGCACAAGCAAGCCATTTACTGATTGTAGCTTTCAAATTGCTGGCTCAGCTCGAAGGCCTAGAAGCGTGACACCAACAAAAACTGTGACCAAACAAGAATAGTGTCACAACAGCGACACTATTGCAAAGCGTGAGAGCTCTACTGCAAATCACCGTTGCAAGGCAGGGAAAAATACCTCCTGGAGAAGCATCCTCAGCCACTCTCCTGCACTTCCTAGTGGCCAAGTATAAAATAGCATACATACTGCAAAAGGCTTCATTACCTTCTTAACCCAAGATGGTGTGTGTTCAGGGTGGGAGGAATAACACAACAACTTTATTACAAAAGTAATAAAGAGGTTGTATGCTTTTTATTTCAATGCCAATAAGTTTACCGTTTCTCCTGACGGTAACAGAAGTGAACCGTGTGATAAGCTTACAAACTACTCAAGAAATGGATTGTAATATAAGAAGCTGAGAAAATAAAAGTCTTAACGTTAATGATTCACAAAGTACATTGGCCTATATGGTTAAAGCTCAGCAAAAGTTGACATTTAAAACTTAACAAAAGAGTTATGGAGCCAATATAGGTTCCTCTGTAATTATCTTGTCTAATGATATTCTGTTTCCCCCGCCTTGGACATGATTATACAGAACACAGTTTCATTGTATTTTTAAAAATATTTTAACGCCTTCTGTTCCACATAAAGCATCAGATCCCATTCAGAAGAGGGAAATAACCTGAACTATGAACGTTAGAACAGTGCTGGCTTGAAAAGCCCACTGTGGTGCGCAAAGCAGCCTGAGGGAACCTGCCTTTTAGCTTCCCTCTCTTACTGCAGAGAATCCTATCCCATTCTATGCTTTACTATTTCTAACAACAATGGCTGACATGAATAGCTCACCAATTTTATAGCGCTCTGCTTATTCAGACACAAAGCTATAGTTCTTTAAAATGCTACAGCAGTTGGTACAAGACCCAAATGTTTTTTGGTTCGAACGCTTTGGTAAGCTTTTAAAAAAGCAAAATCTGAAACTAATGAAGTGAAGGAAAAGCCAGCCACAAGTGAAGGGAGGACTTGAAGCAATGAGGCATAATATCTTGCCGTGATTTCCACATAAAACTGAAGACAGGAATAAATAGAAACCCAATTACACTGAACTTTGTCTTACTACATTGCCTTTCTTTGTGAAAATCCTCAACATTTCAGTGGTCTTCTCATCTCATTTGGTTCATGCATTCCTGTGATGTAATGTTTAAAAGGCACACAGCTATGAATGAGAAACCTGTAACAAACCATCTCAAAACATACTGAAGAAATCAAAGTTCATATATAGTCATCTGCACAGAGATATTATACAAACACACAGAGGTATAACAATTGAATCACAATTGTGTAAAATCCACATAAACCCTCCTCTTCGACAATGCCTTCAGCCACCCTCCCTTACCCCAACGCCCCACCACCCCCACTCTCTGACTGCCCAGGCCCTTGGGACGTCCTCCCGACGTGAAAGGTGCTATCCAAATGTAATTTTGTATTGTGTTTTACAAAGACATTAAAGACAATCACATCAAATTAAAACCAATCAATTTAATTTCTACTTTAGGTTGGGTGCATCTTTCTGAACGCAGCAGATTTGAAAGGAACAGGAACCTGACACTGATTAATCACAGGACAGTAATGTCACCTTAGGCGGTCAAATGGCATAACCTATGTGACTAATATGATTATCATCTAAACTTTGCGATGGTATCACTTTGCAATCAGAAACCCTTGTTTTCTACGCACAGGAGCACTAGAATTTGTTAACTGAAATGTATCCATTATTTTTCTGAAAGGAAACAGACCCACTTTCCAACTGCACACACAAAAGAGCCCTGTCTGCTTATTGAAGTGGGAGCAGAGGGAACAGGTGAAACCACCACCATGTATGTTTATATGGCATAGAGAAATCACACAGAATCATTTCAGGATCAATTTCAAGGAACAAATAAGAGATCATATTCTGGCGGAGCATAAACATTAGAACAGTGTTCAGGGCTGCTCTCACTAACACTGTGGCAAAATAACATTTATGTACTTACTCAATAATCCTTTCTTCTGGAATTTTACGCTGAACCTGCGAAAACAAGTAACATCATTTTTTTTATTTTCAGAGAATTAGAAAGCACCTTATGTTTTTTTNAATCACTTCACTTGCTAGCATTAAAAATGCATGACTTGTGTTTTGAAAAGCATGCATTTAATTTGCACGATTTGGAAATTGTAACCACAAAGTCATTATTAAAGTGCAACAACAATGTATCATCTTTTAAATAATCAGTGTCTATGTGGTATTCTTTGTTCTCGACAATTCGCTACCCTAAAATGGCTTTTAACTTCAAAGATTTGCAACAAAATACTTCTACAGTACTTCATACTGCCGAGCCTGCCAGCTGCGATGCTTCACACTGTCTTGAGAGTAGGGCCCAGAAACCCAATGTGTTGGTGTCTAAGCTTTCAGGAACCCAGTGCTTCACTGATCTTGAAGTTCGCAGGGCAGGTGTTGGGATAGTGAATGCCAAAGCATTATGTTCCAGCTCTCAGGCTAGAAAGACCAACTCTGACTGTGAAACAATTCATTTTGAGGTTAAAATCTGGAACCTTTTTGGAAGTACCGGGTGCAGCTTTACCAAATTTGTTGCAGCAATACAATCTGGAAGGAATAGAAGGAATCCAGGTTCAATTCCTCCACGCTACTGGAAGAATAATGTCATTAATGGAAGAACAATGTCACTGGGCTGCTGTCATTTAACCCTTACACAAACACTGCGCAGGCTGTCCATACACTCTTCGGAAGCAGCTGATGCATAGGCTGGTGTCAAAAAATATAGTCATTGAAACCTTCACAGAGATTAAAAAAAAGCAGGTTAAATTATTAGAGATGGTGTTTTTTTTAATGATCTTAATATTTGGCCACATCAACTGTAAATTGATACTACTCCCATTTGTTTTTGTTGTTTGTGTAATCACTTGAATTGAAATCGAGAGGGTGCCTCTCTTTCCTCCTCTCCCTTTGCTTTGAGGTGCTCTCTAGCACACTAGTGCAAGAGATCACGAAGGATTAAGAAATTAATTGTATTCCAGCTTCTTGCATAGGAAAAAGTAGAACACATACACTTGTAAACAGAAAACAAAACAAAGCTACCTGTCGCAGCTAAATTACCCGTCCCTGCCGCTCACTCCACAAAACAGAATTACATTCTCTCTCTTGAATCAGCGCAGACAAATCACCCACAGTCTGTGGCCCACACAATAACCTCTCCATTGCGTCACCACCACCCACACAGTCGCCCACACAGCACAGTTATTCACTTACATTTACCCGCGACCAAACTCACCCAGTCATTACCACAAAGCACTTAAACATCAATTAAACACATCACTGACACATGAATCTTGGTTTGCAGACAGCGCGTAGGAAGAAAAATATTTTTAAGACACAATGCGATTTTAAAGAATATTCATGAGGTCGCTATTAATCTGTTAAATTTTCTGCCTTGAAATATAATGTTATTATTAAAATAATCTGTCTACGTACATTTAAGGAAATAAATTCCTTTCATCAGGAAGAATGTGCTTCAGTGTCCAGATGGACTTTACTCAAATTCCATCACTAAATCCACTCCAAGCATAATCTAAATTAGAGACAGAATAGAACCATGCGATCCTAAACCACAAGAGAGACAGAAGTTCATCAGTGTAACTTCTGATCCAAAGAATGGCACCTGTAATGACACAGCGCTCCCTCACTATCACACTGGGCTACTAGCCTAAATTATGAAGCGTGGATGAGAGGGCTCCAACACAGCTGAATGGTATTTAAGTTAACAAAACACAAAATACTGCAGATGCTGGAAATCTGAAACAAAAACAGAGAGACTTCTCCGTCAGAAGGGTCGTAGACCCGAAACGTTGACTCACTTTCCTTTCTCCATAGATGCTGCCTGACCTGCTGAGTTTTGCCAGCTCTCTGTTTTTTAAGTTAATGGCTCTAAAAGTCTTTTATGGCAGAAATTAATCAAATTAATTCACAAGAGCAAAATAGTTCCACACCACTATAATTAGGGGGTAAAACAATGATTATATAGCTCGTTCTATGTGTCTACTATCTTCTCCCCAGAGAACAATGTGAGTATTCTTGGAATGACCCAATAAATATTTGAGAGCCAATCATCACTGGAAATTTATTGAATTAGCTGACAAATCTTGCGCCCACTGTAACCTTTGAATGCCTGAGCACACATCACAATCACAGTCATTCGTTATGTGAAGATGTCATAGCATTGGAATGTGTCAATATGTGGCTTGGATGTGACGTTCTTACGATGGAAACGTCATGACTTGTCCCAGGGTTTCTTCGCCCCAAAATGTCAACAGCACCTTTTAAAGTATTGCGTACTAAAATTACATTTTCTTAAGAACATTTGTTTGAAGCGAATATTTAAATCAGTTAAGCACAGCCCACAACAATAGATGCACTGGAAGCCACATCTCTCCATCTTCACTGGGAACAAACCACACACGAATATATTGCAACACTACACCCACCTTTTTTTCCCCTTCAGCTAACTACCTTAACTCAGTTCTGCCTGAAGTTAACTCTTATTCTTCTAAGAACAAAAGGGCCTTGTTATGCTCCCAGTTGAAATGAGGGATAAAAGCAGGAATATGTCTTACATGTAACTTCATACTGCACTGTATCTGTAACTTGTAGAATGTAAAGCTGAACTCTTATGTAATACACAAACTTCATCTGATTTACATGTACATTTGGGAATAGAATGAAATGTACCATACTCCCAACAAATTGCATCCGACTGTCTGCAAAGTTGGATTTGAGGTACGGAGCAAGTTAGGACTGCACACTGGGAAACACGAAAACAATGTATTTTATCTCACCTCTGTTGGATCTTGAAAAACAAATTTTCTTTCCACTATAGCCTGCTCCTTATGTAGCCAGCGTTCTCCAGCCACATTTTCTGAAGAATGTCTGCTGGCTGAAAGCAAGATTGAAAACTTGTCAAAAAATTGAGAAGATACTCGAATATATATTTATCACCTTTCCACTTTGAATACATGTATTGTTCCAATTGTAATTTTACTGTGTTCACTTCCTTCAATAAGAGTCTAATCACAACTGTACACCTCTCGCAAGGAAATAAAAACACAAATTTACGAGACTGAAAATATTTTTTTATTTGAAACAACCAAGTTTACTAAGAAGCCTGTGATGTAGTACCCAAAATGCCACCATACCCTCAGGATAGCTGTGCTGCAAGTGTAATGCAGCACTCTTCTATATTTCTGAGCCCTTGAGAGCACAGTCAGTATATTTTTCAAAATTAAACTAATAAACTTTTATTTTATTTGCCAGATATGAAAGCAGTTTTCAAGTCCTGTTGATTTCTGTTTTCTAAACATTAAATACAAAGTACAAAGTATACAATGGTAGAAACAAAGATATACAGTTTAATCAAAACTGTACCATTGAGCCAGAACTACAATAGTTTATTTTTCAGGAAAACAAAAACTGTAATGTATTCTACAAGACAAGCAGTCATTCAGCAGCCAAACAAGTCACCGTGACAATGTAAGCTCCTAATTTCCGGCCTCTCCAATAACCAAACCAATTTCTAGAAAAATATGCCCATTTGTTCAGCATTCTTGTTTAATATCTTTCACCTGCTTGTGGCACGCCCGGTTTCTTCATGGGGGCTGCCCACGACCCCTGCACTCGGGCTCGCCGTCTCTTATCGGCCATGAGCTTTATCAAGGTTTTAATTTTTCCAACTCCAGCAACACTGCAAAAAGGAAATGGGATGTGAATTTGAGCTGAAAGCTCTGCTCGACAAAGCCAATTCTGAGCCCATCATTGAGTGAGGTCTGTTATACCTTTTGGGGTCCAATAGACCTTTCAGAGTCCATTGGATCTTTTGGGGTCTGATAGATGGGACCTATAAATTTCTGTTTTCTAAATGTTAAGTATGTACTAAAAATATACAGTGGTAAAAACAAGATATACAGTGGCACTCGGTGATTTAATATGATACAATATAACTATATAATGTTTAACGAGACAGCAACTTGCAAAATTTATCTAAATCAACAAAATACATTTTAAAAAAAAATTATTTGGTCAACTCAATCCACGACTGTTTGTGTGTGGGGGTCATTGCTGGGCGCCATTGGCTGCCGCAGTTTCGTCCACAAAACAATAACGGTCGAGTCACCAGGAGGCGTGAGGAGGCGCGGTATCAAAACCCGAGGAATATTTGCAGACGGCGCGGAGGGTGGGAGCGGGGGGGGGGGGGGGGGGTGTCAAATTTCTCCAGACCTGTGGATTGCTGTTTCGAAAATAGTACAAAACAAAGTCTACCTTCAGTGACTCGGGGACCTTTTGTTGGGATTTTTTTGTGTGTGGTGGAAGGAGATGATGATGATGATGGGGTGGGGGGGGGTCATAAACAGATGATGATGGGGTGGGGGGGGGGGTCACCAACAGATGATGATGGGGTGGGGGGGAGGGTCACCAACAGATGATGATGATGGGGGGGGGGGTCATAAACAGATGATGATGGGGTGGGGGTCATAAACAGATGATGATGGGGTGGGGGGGGGTCAGAAACAGATGATGATGGGGTGGGGGGGGGGTCAGAAACAGATGATGATGATGGGGGGGCGCTACAAAAATGTTTCCATTGCTACTCGATCAGTCTCCGTGTGTGTGTGTGTGTGGCGGATTATTAACCGTTAACTCACGCCTCCCCGTTAAAAGAGACGGTTGTGTGTTGCGGGGGGTTGGGGGGGGTGGGGGGGGGAGGGAGAGGGGGGGGGAGAGAGAAAAAGGTTCACACTCAAAATTTCCTGACGGTTGACGCTCGTGTCGGACATGACGTTGATCAACTTCCGCCCGTGCCACCGCCTCTCCGGCCCCTCCCCACATAGCGGGGCTCCGCGCTCAGGTTCCGGCCGCCCGCGCACGCTCCCGCCCAAAGCCCATCGGACAGTAGCCCAAAAGTAGCCCAATGTTCATTCGTTGCCCTTATTGGTTCCTTATGGTGGTGGTGTGGGGGTGGGTGGTGTGGGGGGGAAGGGGTGAGGGGAGAGGGGGCTATGCAGCAGAGTTGCCCCATTTCAAGTCAGCGCTTTTGAAAGGAAAGCCCCGTAAAGGAAAATAAAAGTCGTCTTTCGTAAAAGGGAACCAAAGGACGTTTTGCACGTCGCGTTACCCTTTTTTGAAGGCCGTTGTTGACAATAATGTGGTTTTTTTTAAAAAAAATGGGTCGATCGTGTAAGGACGACTTTCGGAATCCTGGCGGAAATCCATTTGAGTGCGTTTTTTTTTTGAGAGCAGCGAATTGTCCTATTTGGTGATCACCGGAGGTTACGTTCAAGTCACATTCTCTGTTCTGCCTGTGACCTCGGATTGTTGGATGCTCTTGGAACACAAGTAGAATAATGCTCTGTTGAACACGAGTCTTCCCTCATCTCAATCTCGGACAGACCTTTGGGCAATTTCTTGTTGTGTTGCACAGCCCGCTCAAAGGAACATGATTCATTGCTCTTCCAAAAATAAACTTGACATTGCAAACAATATCATGTGAGATTCTTAGCTTATCACAGCAATGGGAATTTGCTCTTGACGTATTGAATGCATGCTCGTTCAGAGACACTGGGGCGGGGGGGGGGGGGGGTCATGACTCCAATCACTTTGAGGTCAGCCAAAATTGACATTCAAAATTAGCCGACTTTACTCACTGCTAATTTTTTTTATGTAAACAGTTACCCGCGCCACTGGAGGACATTGTCGTGGCTGTGCGAGCAGCTATGAATCTAACAATAATAATATTGCGACTTAATAATCCCACATTACGACTGTTTGTGGGACAAACCTGGGCACAATTAACTGCTGTGTTTCACCCACAAAATATAGTTAAGTCACTTTATGGTATATGAAGCTCTTCGAGAGGTCTCAACAACATGTAACCCTTCAACCTCAGCTCCTGTTGAATGCTGGCAGAAGCAGATTTCCTGTACATATGCTGGACTTACATACAGGGCGAAATCTTGGGCAAGTTTCCTTACTCCACACGCCTAATAATAATCCCTTCAAAACAAAACAATAATAAATTGGTAATTTTCAATCCACGACTGTTTGTGGGACACTGCTGTGCGGAATTGGCTGCCGCGTTCCGTCCACAAATATAGTCAATTCACTTTACAGTTGTTCTGTGAAGCGCTTTGGGACGTCCTCCCGACGTGAAAAGCGCTATATCAAATGCAAGGATTATTATTATTATTAATAGCCTGATCTAGGAACTTCAACCTCCAACTATAATAATACAGAAAGCAAACCGTTCGTTGATAGTTTATGTTTCCTCCTATCGTGCTAAATGCAAAATCTTCATTGAATGCTGTATGCAAACTAATTTCCAGGAGGTAAATTATTCACAGAAGTGTATTGAAATTATGAGGCAGTGTAAATAGAATAAAAATGAACACTATTTTAGCAATAAGTATCTTTATTGTTAGTCACACTTATTAAGCTTTTTTTAAGCAGTTGAAAGATTCTATGATCTGCAACACGAGTTAACACACAATTGAGAGGACAAGCATTTCATCTCCAGGTTATCTCGAACATACATTTGAACACTAGAAAGGTCACAATCCCACATTCACTCAGCATACCCAACTCTATACCATAATCAAATCAGAGAACACGCACTCCCCACGCTTTCTTATTTTACCTGTTCAGCACCATTGCATCGGTATTGTATATTTAAAAATATACACTGACTTTCACTGCCATCAGTTTTTTTTAAATTTAAAAAAAGAAAGCAAACCATAATGATTGTCCATATCAGACTGTGTGCTAGCAGTCAAGTGTCCCATTTGAGCATACATTGAACTGTGAATATAAACAGTGCTTTATTACATCTAGACTTAGCAAAAAGACACATCAGCCCTATCATTCAACACATTTCAATTACTTTAACCATGAAATATTATTAAACACAACAGTCTGAGCTTTGCAGAAATGTCTTGAGTAATTGACGTACAATTAGCAGTGAACAAAAAAGCACCATAATGGCAAGTAGGTCAAAGTACCAGCATATTGAGTATGCAAGATACCAAAAGATGGTACATACAGTACAATAAAGACTTTGTGTGTGCTAGAGCAGATTGATCAAATTTTTTTTCTTTATTACAAGTATTGTAGTATTATACAAGAATACAAGTGTAAACTTATAGAATACACAGTGTAGCTCTAATATACACATTTCCCTAGTTCAAGATGGTGGACTAAAAGGTACAAACTGAGTTGTATATTAAACTGGAACTAAACTCTTATATTCTTCGATATAAATAGGGAGACTGATGTACAGCTGCCCAAACCAGATACATCAGTTAAATAATTCAAGAGCAATTGATAGGATTTTAACCTTTCTGTGTTGCAACTTGTGACTTCTGCCCAACGCCCCCACCCCCATCGATAAATGCAGCAATGAAGCTCGCAGTGAGGTATGTGATCAGTTTTAACTGGTTTTCCAACAGTTTGTTAAATGATGGTCTTGTAAAGTTTCCGAATGAAGACACCTTCAGATAATTAGCGTTTCCTTCCCTACTGGAGATGAGTAATCTTTGAAAATGGTTTAGCACAGCACTGCATAGAGGACTTTTAGAATTAAGCTTTAGGCATTGTTACATGCAGGGTTTGCTGTATCTTGCAAAGATGTCATTTTTAATGTGTTACCAAGCCAAAACAGCCTTAATTTATCCAAAGTTAACTACTACAATCCCAGAGCGCAGAAATATAGAGTGCTGATATTGAATAACATTCTGGACCCTGTGCTGCAATTATCACCTTCAAAAGAATAATTCATATAGAAGTGTCTTCAGCTTGTTTGATTTTATCAGAATAATGACAAGTGACTGCCTTGCCTGTATCCATCACTAGAGGCCTGTTCAGTGCCATCAGTGATGTTGCTCCAGTATGTGAATTGAATATGATTTTGTATTTTTGATACAAACCAATCTTGCTGTGCAGATTTTGCAGAGTATTAACTTATTGCCAGCCCTCAATTTTCTTATGTGGTACTTGGGTTTGAGAAACAAGAATACCGACATCTTGAGCCCCCCATTTCATTATTTTTAAAATTTTAACAAACCAACTTCCAACTTTTTTATTTTTCAGATGGACTCTTCATCTAATTGATTATTTAGTTTGCAACTCTTCATGACATGGCCTTGTAAGCTTCTAAATTGTACAAAGTACTCCCTCTAGTGATAGAAGGAAATCATCATGAACTATTTTTCACCTCGCCTGCATTGAGAAATTCTTGAGTTTCTTGGATTTGTGGGCCTTTCCTCAGAATCTGCTAGGTTGGTCAAGAGAATTCACTAACAGCGAGGAATACTGTGCATTCCAAGTCACCTACACTTAATTAAATAGATGCTGTGGAGAAGCATGGGAATTGATTTGAAGCACCAAAATACAGCAAGGTTCAACACCAGTGAATACACAATATCTAGCTGCATATATTTCCATAAAATGTTTGTTCCAGATCGGCTAACTCCCCTTCCCCTTCCAAATGTAAACAGGGCGTCTGGCACACGTGCTTTTCCGTTAGTAGTCAATGGAACAATCTAGAAGAACAGCTGAAGGTCCCGAGGACCAACATAAGCAAGTATTTCACACTAAAAGTATAATTAATGTCAACATTAGCTTCTAAACTTCAACAGAAAGTATATGCCCAAGATTTTCCTACTTCTTCAATTAAGAAAACTTTTTTCAGTTGATTGATTCTGAAACAAAACAAAAAGCATTCTGCAAAATTACTCTATTTTCTACTTTCAATCTATATTTTATTAGAGTATTTCCTTCCTTGCTATTCCTAATGTTAGGCGAATGACAACAACAGCATTTCATTTATATAAGGAATAATTGAATAAGGAAGACAAAAGTGTATTTTCAATAATTTTTGTAAATGCTTTTGGTGAGAATAGCTCAGAAACAAGACATAAATAAGAAATTGTAATCCTCCTCTTCTCCAGAGTAAAGGACAATGCTTGTATTAGCGAGAAGATAATTTGGGGATTCAACTTCAAATCTGTTACAATATCATAGATATTTAGTATTTTATTTACTTTGAAAGCCAAGAACCCAGGGACTCTGAAGCCAATGTCAGAAATATATAGAAAGTATGTTATGAATCCTTCTCTTCTCCTCCAACCCTATCCCCCAAAATATCTGGTCCCTATTAAAAGAATAAGTTTCAATTAATTTCAAACTTTGCAAAATAAAAAAAAGATCCAAGAATATTGCATTTTATTGCGTAGAAAATCAGTTTTTCTTCTCCTTCTTCAAGTAGCGTGCACGAAAACCTTGGTTCAGCTTCATAGCATATTTAATGGCCAGACAGTCTGGTATCAGGCTTGTCGTAATCCAACCCTAAAAGAAGACATTAAATTATCTAACATATTTTCAGTTTGTAATTTTTCTAAATACGAAATCACCACAAGAACATTCAAATAGAACTTTTGATACATCTTTTGATTTACAAGAACAGCAATTCATATACTTGGGCTTCACACCCATTGAAGGTTTTACCACTATTGACGTATTAGCTAATGTAATGACTCACTTCATCAAGATAACATTGACTGTCATTCAGTACGGGTTAGTGTTTTGTCCACAAAATATACAGTCAATTCACTTTACAGTAATATTCTGTGAAGAACTTTGAGACATCTCAACGATATGATAAGGCGCTATATCAAATGCAAGGATTATTATTATAGTGGCGGTCTGGGCCTGCTCTTTGGTGCACATGTGAAATTATTTTCATCTTTATATTGCGTGAGCGTTAACCATACTGTTCCTTAAAATACTTTTTAAAGGTGGTAACTGAGCGCAGGTGCTGGCTTATGTCCCATTATAGTGCATGAGGTCACTTTCAGCATGTGCAGTATAAAAACATAATATAATACTGGATAGACTTAGGGGAAAACAAGTTAATATTTCAGTAGATTATTGATGAGTTACCGTTCACATCAAAAAATAAAATCCAAGGACCGATGCTAAAGAATACAATCTTACCAATATAGCATGGGGCAGGTAGCCGTGTGTCTGGGTCTGAAGGCCAACCGTGTTTAAGGCAGCTTTCACGTACGTCTCTGGGCTGGGCTTGTCCAGTGTTGGTTTTCGGATCTTACTCAGCTTGGTAGCAACAAAGAATGGCAACACACTCTAAAACAAAAAGAAAGTTTGGAGCAGTATAAACACGGCTGACCAGAAAAAAAAATCACAGATGTACTGTCAACATCCCTTTGACCCAATCTTTTTAAAATTCTAACACACTCAAATTAAAAATTTTAAATATTTAAACTCAAAACTATATTATCATTCATTAAATTCATCAATGTCTTCTATAAATCTAACATGTAACAGATCATCTCCTACATATACAGTATACAGGTATATGGAATGCAGAATGGAATCAATCAACTTCTCTCCATTGACAAGAACTTGGAATTTTAGATTTACTTTTAATACAATTTTGCCATCAAAGTTTGTGTGGACCTCAGATCATGGTGCTGAAAGTTATTTCTTATTGCTGTGAATATAGGAAAACAGACACTTGTGCTTACGTCACTCCAGCTGGGAAATGCGCATGTGGTGATGGGTCAAGAATATATTTTCAATGATTCATTGGGTCTTGACCAATTGCTACATGCGCACTTACCAAGCATTGGAATCACATTGAATTGCGGAAAATGAAGTTCTTCTGCACATGCGGCGACAGATCAAGACTATGTTTCCTGCAATTCAATGTAGCTGGCCAGTAAGTAAACATACGTTGACATGTCAAGACGTCATTTCCCCTGATTCAATGCGGAAATAATGGAGGATAGGAGAGCAGCGTAATAAGTTACGAGATGATTAATACGAATAGTGCAAAGAAATCTAAGTGGTTTTGATAGGAAACTGAATGGGACTTGGGTACATCTACGATTTAGGTGATTATATGATTTATAAAGAGAAGACTGGGGTGAAGGAACAGAGAGACCTGGGGGTTCAGGTAAATGAATCCTTGAAGGTGACAGGACAGGTAGATAAAGCTGTAAAAAGGGCATATGGGATTCTAGGCTTTATAAATAGGGGCATAGAGTACAAAAGTCAGGAGGTTATGATTAACCTATATAAAACACTGGTTAGGCCTCAGTTAGAATACTGAACCCAGGCCGATTCGATCACAACTTTTAAAAACGCGGTGGATGGGTATTTGAGGAAGATGGGTTTGCAGGGTTATGGGGAAACGGCTGGGGAGTGGGATTGACATTACACTGCTCTTTTCAAAGAGCCGGCACAGACTCGATGGGCTGAATGGCCTCTTTTTGTGCTGCACGATTCTATGATTATGCGATTTTTATATAGCACCTCAATTCATACAAAAGGTTGATAGGGGAAAGGAAAACTGGTTTGGTACAGCTATTGAAATATTAACCACTAGATGGCACAAAGCGGGCATATCAGATTAAGTCAACTTGCTCAGCTGTACTAACAGTCCATCACATTAGGGTAACTTGTTTTTCAGTTTTACACATCCCAGCAATATGACACAAGACATTCATGTGAACAAAAGTATGTTTCAGCAAAGTGAAGAAAATACTTTGACTAAAAAAAGTCTAAAATACAGCAAATTTAATGCAAGCACAATTGTAATGTATCCAATTGCAGTTTTAGAATGCTCATTCACTGCTCATTTTTCTCTTGCTAACAGTTGTAGGTTTTGGAACAAAGAATCACAGTCTAATTCTGGTTTTATTGAGAGTGGATATAGGTTTAGTATGCATTTCTCAAAAAATAAAAGCACGCAAAAATGATTGCAAACCTAAGTTATTTAATCTTTGACAGAATTAAGTTAATAACAATAATTTAATTAAGTCTGAACAGCTACAACAGGTCAGTTTTCTGAATTACTGCACTGTCCTGTTTAACCCAATCTTGTTAAGATTAACCCTGTGCGTCAGTGCTTATACAGTCAAGAGATTCAATGCTGTGCCAGAATAGCTATACCAAGAAAATACGACCTCGACCCAACATTCAAACATCTTCAATCATTTAAACATGAAAGACAGTGTTGAAGTTAAAAATTATAGCACAAAGAACCCATTTAAGATTTGACATTGAATCTTAGTAGCTCATAAGAAACTAAACCAAAAACATTCAGATGAATCTGCTGAACTGAAGCTCTAAACCCACTGACAATGGTGGAACATAGTCAATTTACGAATCCTAGATTCAGGGCAAAACTCTTTCCTTCTTCTGACACTGACAAGCAGTGCATGCCTTTTTCTTTCTCTCTTCCATCAGCCATCACCGTCACATTCCTAGGTATGCGAATATGATTTCTGTAGTTGCTATGACAGCAGTAGTTCCTATAGTAACTGTATAGTAACAGGGATACTTAACCAAAATAAGCTCTGCTTACCTGGACAATGATCCCCTTGCCCTTATACTCAGCATGGAGTCCTCGGGAAAAGAAATCCATAAAAGTCTAAGGAAGATCAACAGAAAGTAGGAAAAGGGAGCGAGTTTGACATTATTCCAAGTTTGTCTGTAAATTTTTAACAAACATTATATCATGCTAATAGTGACGTCACAATGTTATGGCAAATATAAAACAGCAGCTGTATTGTTTTGCTTGCCCCTTCTTTAGCTGAGCATTAATCTATTTTTACCATGGGGGAGTTGAGTAAAAAACTCTCCAATAAAGCATTTGCTTACCAACCAGATGGAAACTGGTTTCAAGCCTTGGCTGTTTGTCTCAACAAGGATCACCTTGGTTCGGTCAAATGGATTTCATCAGTTTTGGGATTATGGTTCCAGATGGTAAACAGAGATGGTGGAGGATTCCACATCAGGGGTTGTTTTTTTTTTGCCTTCCTACTGTAAGGATTTGCCATCAACCATTGATGAAAATTGCGGATGGAGAAGACATCCCATATCCACTTACTGAACAAAACCATGAAACCAAAGGTCCAATGGATTTATAGTTCACAAATATTCTTAAAATCTAGTGAAATGGTTATCTTTGAAAAACAGCTCTTGAAATAATTAACTCAAGAGATTTTAAAACCAGGGGGCACATTATAAAGGGGCTTTGGATTGGATCCCAATGGTCATATTTCACACCAACCTTTGGGTACAGATAAAATAGTGCTCATATCTCATTCAATATTAAGCAGCTTAAGTTAGGGTTACCTTCAATAAAAATTCTTTCAACAATGTCATTTCAAACAATGCAAAGCATAACAAAGTAGAGGGATTTAGTTTGAATCCCAATCCACAAAATTTCTGCTCGAAGGCACAATATGTTTGGAGATCCGAAGGTTAGGACAGACAAGTCAACAAACTCAACCTAATGCATGGACATCTTCGTAAAGGTTTAGAAGCAAGTCACAAACTCAACCCTATGCTGCAAGGGTCACTTGATAAGCATACAGGGAAGAGCAAATTATCCCCCAAAACTATTTCAAAATGTTAAGGTGTAGTGGAAGCTTCAGCGCAAAAATAGTAGAATTTGTGCCAGTTACTCTTGCAAAGAGATACAAGAACAGAGGCAAGGTGGTTGCTCCAGGAAAAGCAATTAAGTGTACATGGTTGCTTTCATGTCACTGGATTTTTGGAGACTGAAAAAGACACAGGCTATTCTATTCCAACCAACAACCTATGATGTGCTGAAAGAGTTAACATGGCAAAGACTGCTCATGCTGTAACAAAGAATTTGTTAGGAAACCCCAGTACAATGCAGTAAATTGAGAAAAAGCAAAGCAGCAAGATTTCTGGTTCAGGCAATATAGCAGCAATTGTGACATAATCCTACAGGGGCTTGGGAATTCCAGCATTACAGAGAATTCCCCACACGTGCTCTAGATCTGACACAAGAACTCCCCACTATTCATCCAATTAAAAAGTAATGCAACGAATAGTGATAAATTCTAAGATTAAGGTATTCAAAAGCAATGAATTGTTATAAACGGATTCAAAGAGCAAAGTTGCTTCAGTAAAAGTATTTGTTACAGTGAAACAATACAGAAAGGTGGCTTACTATATCAACTTTATGCAGAAATGATTCATATCAATACCTGCCCTGCTCTACCTCAACTTTGAAATGTTTCAATTGACGAGATTAGCTGTAGCAAACATTTACAGTTTAAAATTGTATAAAGTGAAAATGTTGATAAATAAATGTACACATTTAACTCAAAAGTGAAGTAATGGTTTGAAAACCAATTGAGTTGTTTGAAACAGTGAAAGGAATTAACAAACTCACGACAGTGGACGCCTTTTCCCACAAAACAGGCAACAATAAGTATGTTGAAAGAAAATATACTTTGTTTTGAAAAGAAAAAGCATTTCTCATTCACAAGATTCAACTTGATAATAACAGTTTTAGTAATAATTATGCAGGATGCTAAATAAGAGAAAATAAACTGGGTAGGAATAAAACAACATTTACCTTGGATGCAGAGTAAAGAGTGAGTAAGGGAACAGGATACAATGCACTAGCAGACGATATATTCAAGATGACACCTTTTGACCTTTGGGAAAAAATTATATATACAAATACAGATCATCTTTTGATCCAATGTCGATTCTTGTATTTCTTCAACACAGTAAAAAGTTTGTCACTTTAAAGATCCCCACACACCTTTCTTTAGTTTGGAGACCAAATATCAAAGAAAAGAATTTCTCCAAAACAATTTCCCCTATTGAAAAGATACTATCTGAGCCAATATTCCTCATTCATCCATATTCAGAAAAAAATAAGATTATTGATGTACATACATGTCCTTTTAGGTATCTGAAGTCGAAACAATTCATTGGAAATTTAAGAGAGGGGAAATGGTGAGAAAAATAAAGAAAATAACATTTTGAATGGAGGCAAAGTATTCTGTATAAAAATGTGAAGCATTTTAAATTATCAGTCACATTTTAACAAGCATTATAGACACATGCAATGTAAAACTGGAATACTTTGTATTTACCTATGACAAGGATCTTAATGACACATCACGACTCATTAATTTATGGAATAAACTTAGGTATTTCAATGGTTGCCTGTTGCTGGTACTCTGTGGAACTCAGTTATTTCCCACCCCTCCTGTCCCTTCTTCTTGTAACTGGACAATACCTCACTGTTAACTGTCCAATGAGAAAAAGCTGTGTAGTCATTCACTCTTGCCTGTGCTTACAGCTGCTGAGGTTATCCCTGGGAAAACACCCAAGAGACGGTCCTTAAAATGTCAGAAGAAAACTAGGTTTTTGTGTTACACCGATGACTCAGAATTTTTGTAATCACCTACAGAAAGAAATAACCACAATGCTGAACGGAAGACTTCTCGAGCCTATGAATCATACTCTGCTATGATTCATGTAATGTTACTCAATCACTTAGGCAGAGAGATGAGGCTCATTAGTTATTCTAAATGATTTTTTGAAGGAAGGATTCTCCCTTATGAATAATAATGAGAAGAGTGACTCACCTCTCCACCATACCAGGCAATACCATGCTTGTCATCTGCAGGAGAGAAGAAAAAAAAGCAAGAGATCAAACCATGTTGTTTGCTTTAAAAAGGGGGCCATTTGCAAAATGATGACCTCAGCCAAATTTTTCCCTCATTAAAATTCTGATGGTGACTAAAATAAGTTAAAATGTAACCTCACAATACCTAAACATTCAGTGGAAAATCTTTTAATTCTACAGTAAAATTAATGTATAGCAACCTGCAGAGAAACCTCAGTAAGATTCCCAAATCATTGAAGATTGATGTTATATTGGTGTTGCTGCTTCACAACGAGAGACAAATGCAGATACAAGTTGTCACCAGCAGGTGTAGCAACTACATTGACATAGAGGGACTGAAACACTTAATTTTACATTATATTAGTTATTTGTTGTTGTTCTTGAGAGAAATCTTTAAAAAAAAATTCAGAATACAAACTACTTTGTTTCCCCCTCCCCACAAATGCCGAATGCAAATGAAATGGCATGTTTAGATGACTTACTGTTCTCAGTCTTTTGTATAAAATAATGTATGGTAAGTTAAAATAATGACAGAATTTCAAAGAATGATTTTTTTCAGTTTTATCCTAAAATATTTATCTTGTGATGCAAGTGTGACTATTTCCTCAGTTTACTAAAACACAGCAACAATCTTTATTTGGGTAGGTGAAAATGTTGTCAAATTGGATACATGAAAACATAACAATCGAGCCAAATATTTACAACCAAACATTTAAAAAAAGCTGAACAGATATTTTTAATCCAAAACATATTCTCTAGTGCCTTATTAAGATGCTACAGTGCATATACATGGTTATATTTGGTAATGCACTTTTCGTCAGATGAAACACTGTGTTCTTTTCCTGTTCTGTACTTGCTTATTTACGTTTCACAAGCCATTACGGTCTTCTCCTTCGAAGGGCACAATACAGAAACATTTGCCCATTTTAATGTCTATAGGTGCGGACGTTTATAGTTAAGAATAATTTCAATAATGCATCAAGTCCACAGTATCCTTAAAATGTCAGAAAAATAAACTCGTATGTAGTAGCAATTGTAAGACAAAGAAATTAATCCCCGTCCAGATTTTGCAGGAGATGCTTTTTGGGGGTAAATAAAGATGATATTGGCATAGAATCTGAAAGCTTGGAAATCCAGATGGTGGCTCACAGGGAGCAGGGAATGCACTTGAAGCCAAATTCGCCATAGTAGGGGGTAAGCAGGAGTGGGCAAGAGAAAATCAGAGACAGGGAGGTGCTAGGTCATGGAGGGATTTATAGGTGCATCTGGAAATCGATCTGCTGGGAGTCAGTGGAGCCTGGTGTGTACTGGGGTAATGGAGATTCAGAGTTTGAGTAAACCAAAGTTTAACTATTGACAACAGAATATATTTACCAATTCGGGCACAACAAAATTATTCCTTAAAACATTAACCAAAAGTATCAAATCATTTCAATGCAAAGGATGAAAACTTCAGCATATTTTTCTAGTTTTCTGTTTTTAAGCAGTATTTAAAATATACTAGCATTAATAAGGTATTATTCAAGTGTACCTTTCACCACTTAGAGAAAATGAGAATATTTTTGCTGTCCAGTTATGCAGCAGTAAATAGTTTTCTTACAATCATTATTAACAGGTTTGTGGGTGCAGGTGTTGATTTTGTAACGAACCAAAGGTTGCACGCATGCCACTAATCTCCATGAAAATGGTAGTTACACAGTCAGCATCGCAGGTTGCTCGTATAGTCTGAAAAAACAGCATAGTTGTTTTCGGGTGTTGAAAGAGATGCAAATTTGCATCATACTGTGCAATGCTTTTGTTGTTACAAGCAGGGTGTTCCTAGAATGGTTTTTTTATTAGTGGTTGCTAACCCAGATGTTGGAAAATCCCTCAGTGGGAATCTCTGTGTTTTTTTTAAAAATACAAACATCGGCGCTTCGCCTCCTGAACTATCACTGGATCTTCTTGAATTGGAAGAAAAAGCTGTTTTCAGATTTTTTGACAAACAATTGTTAGCATAAGTGTAACCTCCCTTTTCAGAAACTTAATTTCTTAAAATTCTGCTACGAGAGGTAATTCAGCTGCTGGCAAAGAAAGGGAGCCCTCATTGTGCTTGCACAGAGTAATAACTTCATGTTTGCCAAGGTTTGCGGCGTTTTTCATTAGTCGAGTGATTTTTATGAGTGAGCTGCCAGTTCCACTGGGAACACGCAGCAGCTGAAGTACAATCATTTTATCGCATTCCTGGAACTCCCTTCACTGAGAGCCACTGGCTGCAGACTGACGATAGGGCTTTGCCAATCTCGCTCCATTTTATTTTTGACATGTCAAATGAAACTGGTTATTCATTCCAGACAGAAGTAACGAAATATTAATGATAGTTGGGTCAAAGGAAATGTCTGCCGTTTTTACCTTTCGTGAATAAAATTAAAAAGGCAAAGCTTTCTTGATGCACGGACAATGGAAAATAGTTTATTTCAAAAGCCAAGATTGAAATGCTCTTCAGATTTTCCTTGGTTGCACTCTACTCTCATTTTGGACTCTACATTTTCCCCCAAAGCAGAAACGGCCGAAATTTCTTACAGAATTCAACAATGGTTTGATGGGAAATCAATGGAATGTGAATAAAATTTCTATTCTCCTCAATTTCATCTTCCAGAGATAATGGTAATAATTTGCTTTCAGAGATGCTGTATAATCCAAGGCATAAGTAGCTCACAGCTACCTTATTTATTTAAAAAAAATAAAAACTAGAAAACCATTCGCCTCTATAAGGCACAAACACTATAATCAGCTTCTTGTTTGGTTCCCACAGATGGTAACTACCATGATAACATCGACAATCTGCTAAATGAACGATTTTCCCAGTTGACGAAAAAATGTCTGTTCTATCCAGCTTATCATCCCTGATCAACATCGCTGAACATGTGCTGACGTCCTTGTGCTGCATATCGGCCCTGAGACACCATTTGCGTTTGCAGAATGATACGTACAAGACTTAATAATTGGCATGAGCTCCTGTTTGAGTAAAGCAACCCTGATGGGGCTTTATCACCAATTCAGTCGTCACATATCTAGGAGTTGAATTCTTCTTGCTTTTATGTAAAATGACATTGATGATAATGCATTATGATTTTCCTTTGCATCATGGAAAATAAATAACTAAAATCTATGAGACATTAAGCATCAAAAAAAGTTGTTTTCAATGCTTAATTAGTTGAATTGGATACCACTAGTCTTGAACAGATGTGCTTGGAGGTCACCCCAAGGTTTTGCTCTCATCAACTCAGAACATTATCCATACAGAAAAGGCAGGATTGTTTTGGAGTCAGAAGGTTCAAGAACATGGCATTCACTAACAAATTCTATGCCAGATAAACTTTTCGATGATAAACTACAACATAAGGAACATCCTTCAAAAAGACTACTTTGTGCCTATTAATCTGGATGGGAAGGCACGCAACAGCCACCCCCACCCCATCCATCCCATACGCTAGATTTGAAAATCACTAATACAGCCTTATAAGAATAGATCATAAAGAACATACACAAAAAGGTGCCATTTTACAGATCAACAATACCACTAATGGGAATGAAACCCATCCAGGCCAAGTCTGAAAGACAGGTTAATAGCTGAAATAGAGAACACAAGGGCTTAAGTAAAAGGAGTTAAAATAAAATGAAGAGCTAAGAAAAAGTATTAACATGAATGAATAAAATGGGTAACCATAGAAACTGCTACGCATTCCTGCTTGCTGTAGTTCACCATTGCTTTGGCTACCTTTTTACAGTTCCTGTTAGGGCTGCACATTATATGGTGCGGTCCCAATCAATTGAATCAAAATAAGATGCAACTCCCTTTCCCCCTCAGGCAAAGATGACAATCTTCTGAAAATGTATTAACTAAGAACCACTTTGTAAACCAGAACAGCACAGGTTCACAGTACAACGAAAGTGCAAAATACACAAATTAAGGTTCCTACAGCCCAGCCACAATGAGCCACAACTGTACCTAAAATGAAACCTTGTGGGACATACAAACAAACTGCTGGCACATGTGTCCTCAGTTTAATTTTTTTGCTTACTCTTCATACTAATTAATCTGAATAGCCAGGAGAGAGCAAGCTGGCTTCCGGAGACAATGAATGGGGAAGGCACCAGTTAATTTTCTTGGTGTGCTTCACAGTGAGGTTAAAAGCAAGCGAATGGGACTGAACTTAAAATTATTTCAGAGACAGCACAGGCATGATTTCTATGGTTGAAAACTTCCCAGATTAAAGCAAATGGAGTCAATCCATGACTAGCAGTAGAGGTATGGGAAATCAAGAAATACAAAGGAAAGTACAAAGTACATTGATAAGTATGTTTTTTTATGAGGAGTAGAATGCCTCTATTTGAAAGCAGATGTGTGGACAATTGGTCACAGATGAGGTTTGCCTGTGAAGATGCCATTGTCAAAATACTTGCTGAAATCACCATCTAGATTCACACATGAAGAATGACCACTGAGCTGAGGTATTGGAGGGGGCCCAGTGTCCATAGGTTTACATTTCAGCAAGACAGTCAAGACAGTCAGGGGCAAGAAGCAAAAACACAATAATCTGAAGCAGATAAAAGGAGATCAAAGAGCTTCACAGGATTTAACATAGAAACAGGAGAAGGATATTCAGTCCCTCGAGCCTGTTCCGTCATTCTACAAGATCATGGCTGATTTGTACCTCAACTCCAATTTCCTACCCTTGCCCCAAGTCACTTGATACCCTTATATATCTAGTGATTGTGTATTTCTGTGGGTTAATAAAGGTATATAGGTTGAACTGCAATTAACTACAATTAGTCCTCCATGAAACAAGAGGCTGACCTTTTGTGCTTGTTACAATAAACGGAAATATTGTCTGGCATAAATCTTAATATAAACTCTGTAAATTAAAAATGGACGGAATATGGACACTGGCTCATTGAAGATAGAAATAGCGACTAAAAAATATAGCAGTTTATTTAGAAGAGTGTGAACA